AGAACTACAACAACCACAATCAAGAAAGTACAAGTATTTATAAATAGCTGTCTACGCAAGATACTCAACATCCATTGGCCGGATACCATCAGCAATAGCCTTCTGTGGGAGAGAACAAACCAACTTCCAGCTGAAGAAGAAATTAGGAAAAGACGATGGAAATGGATAGGACATACATTACGCAAATCGTCAAACTGCATCACGAGGCAAGCCCTAACTTGGAATCCTGAAGGGAAGCGGAAAAGAGGAAGGCCAAAGAACACATTACATTGGGAAATAGAAGCAGATATGAAAAGGATGAATAACAACTGGAAAGAGTTGGAAAGAATTGCCCAGGACAGGGTTGGATAGAGATTGCTGGTGAGCTGTCTATGCTCCTTCACGAGGATTAACAGGCGTAAGTAAGTAAGTAGATTTATTCAGGAACTCACTGTACAACAAACTTCGAATCTCATGGTTAGTGCCTAACCCTTAGGCTACTAAGTCGAAGATCAGTGGTTTAAATTTCTTACTGATTATTCTTATTCTCATTCAGAACTATTTGAATGATATAAATAGTATAAGCAGATATACTAATTACAATAGTATTGTACATTCATACTACCACTACTATTTCATCATCACTAATAACTATTATTTCATTTTCTATCGTAAAACAACCAACACATATGATGATGAACTCATTAGAATAGATTTCAGTCAATTCATTTTTGTTTGGTATCAAATTTATAATCAATGAAATGTAATCGTTGTGTATTTAAAGCAAAATGATCAACATTACGCTATTTTCTCACAATTTAGGTGAATTGAAATCATCTTAACTATAAACATCTAATTAGTGTTAAATATTCTGGTTAAAATCATTATGTTCATTGATTAATCATTTAGTTTAAACATAAAAACATTGATACAGCGAGGCATCAAATACATATACGTCATACTTGTGTGAAAGCTGAAAGAATATTGCCTTGGAGCCTGAATCGAAGCAGATGTTTTTCTTACGGGTCACTCCCTGAACCCTTCACCTACAGGTCTGATCCACAAAGCAGTGAAGCAACGTTAAGCGATTCAGTCACATGGTAGCCGGTGACCAACAAAAGGTTCATACACTATTTGTTTCCTCAGGATCCTGGAGCTCATATGGAGCATTGGTTTAGAATGAGGGTTTTCCAACTTCCCTAGGTGGATCCTGAATATCAACCAACCCGGTTAAAGCGCCAGACATTCGCTTTTCGTCCTCTCACCTTCGTAAATAACATCTCTGGCGCGAGTAGGCATCGAGTAGGAATTCCCTGGAAGTCGCTGTATATGCGTGGCCATGTGAAAGCGTATACAGTCATTGTCAGTGAAGTCCTACTCATTGCCTTCTCGCGGCGGGGTCGTTGTTTACGAAATTGAGAGGACAAAATGCGAATGTCCGGTGCTTTAACCGGGTTGGTGGACATGGAGGATCCACCTGGAGAAGTTAGAAAATATCGATTCCAAACCATCGGTACACATGGGTTCCAGGATGCTAAGGGAAAAATGGTATATGAACCAATTATTGGTCATTGGCTACTATGGGACCTCATTTCCTTACATTACTGCACTGCATTGTGGATCAGACCTTTAGGTCGAAGGCTCCGGGTTTGTTCCCCTAAGAAAACCTTCTACTTCGGTTTGGGCACACCGGAAGCTCACTCACAAATCAAATGAGATTTCATGATAACTGTAAACATTGATTTCTTTTAGAATAATCTTTATAATATTCCATACACAATAAATATTGCGTAACTGTGTGCTTAAATGAATGAATACATCGTTACTAGCTAAACAATATATTATTAGTATATTCATCAGTCATCTAGTTCCGTGATTATATAAATGAATATATAGGCGTTAGTCTTTGTGTGTGTATGCATATATGTATGCGTGTTTGTTTGAGAAGAATCGTTACTATTCTCTTATCATATAATTGAGTCGATCGATTTTCGATTATATTATAATTGATGTATTAATAATGATGATAATAATAATAGTGAAGCTCCCTAATCTCATGTTGTATAGATCTTTATATCTTTGTCTAACCTACCTATTGAATGAATATCCATCAATTTTATTTTAACCAGTTATTCTTTCAGTGAAATTATCATTGCATTTCTTATATTCCCATAGTTAATATTATATAGTTGTAAAGTCTTTAAACACTTGTATATATGAACAATGAATAAATTACTTTCTAAATAGAACTTCTTATCGACAACTGTTTATTCTTTCATATTGACATTCATAGTTTATGTTTTATGGGTATGAAACGTGATAAGTAAAGATAAAAATAGCTTACTAATATTTGGTCATAGATGTGTTCTAGGTATTTCTTACTAATCGTGAAATCATCATGACCTCAAATGCTCTGATACGGTCGAGAGTGGGGGGAGTTCGCTCTCTCCGCTCTTACATAGCCATGTGTATATAGCCACTGTCAGGGAAATTCTACTCACTGCCTTCTCGCGTCGAGGATGTTGTTCACGAAATTGAAATGACGAAAAATGAATGTGTTAGTACTTTAACTGGTTGGTGGATATGGAGGACCCACCTAGGGGAGTTGAAAAAACCCTGATTTCAAACCAATGTTGTATATCGGCTCCAGAATCTTGAGGGAACATAAGGTGTATGAACCTATTGTTGATGATCAGCTATCGTGTGACTACTGCATCTCTTAACGTTGCGGATTTGACCTCTAGGTCGAAAAGAAAACCAAATGCTTCAGCTTGGGCGTCCGGGAAGTATTCCAGCCCTCACACAAATCGAATGATGAAGTGTGATGCTTATGTATTTGGTGCCTCCCTGTATCAATTTTCATATGTTTAAATAAATGCTGAACTTAGATGCAGGGTAATAGGAAAATATGGCAAGTCGATTGATAAGGCTGTGTATCTCTATCGACTGAGTTTATTGGGATATAAATCATGTAAGCCCGATAACCACCTACATCGAAGCTTAGCGTTATTTCGGGAAACAGTAGTTTGGAAGATAACTAAGGACGAAAAATCCAAAACATGGGATCAGTTCATGAAATCACTGACTGTTGACCTAAGCCAGTTGGTGAGTGCAGTCTACTTAGTCGGAATCCATACGGTAACCATAGATGTTAATAACACGGGCATTCACTCTGTCTTCCCCTTCAAATCTTGAGCTTTAAAGTTATTTTATACTTTTTATTTTACGGATTCATTCCTACTTCTCGAATCATATTCTCCAGCCCTTATGTTTCCTACTGCCACTGATACTTTTACTGCCAATCCTACTACATTGATAACATTAAAATAATCTTTATAAAATCTCTTTATCTTAGCATATTTTTTTAGCTCATTAACTGGTATGTAAACCAATTTCTCCCTGGTTTATCGACTACTTACGAGTACAAGAATCGTTCTATTAATTACTATTACAATTTCTTAAATCAATCCGACAAGATAATGAAAATAACTGAAAAGTAATAAACACTGAAACGATTATATTGCACATAAATCAGAATCAAACTTCACCAATCCGACTAGTTACGATTATTGTTTCAACTGTATCTTGAGTGTTGTTAGAGGTATAACGGCTGTTATCACTTCCCGGTTGCCCACATCGTGGAAGGGTTTTTGTGGAGGTACCTGAAAAGGAAATTGAGTTAGGAGTGATCTTAATGACCTGATAGCGTGACCGCAGTGCCCAAGAGACAACTGCTTGAGGCCGATCACACACGACCATTTTGTGTGTAATTTTCGTGTTAGCTCCGTACTTATCGGAACCTTACCGCAGGAGATGGAAATCCATGGGATAAGGTGAGATTTGCATTTTTAGGGTTGACCTTTTCTAACCCGACTCCTCCTTGTGGGAAGGCAGTATCCCTATTATGTTGGTTGTCTGAAGGAAACACCTTACTGCTGTCACACCTCTGTACAGTGAGCAGTACGGCTTCACCTTCGGACCTTGGGTTTGGTCAACTGTATATTTCATCAAAAGAAATTCTTGTTGAATAATAGCCGGATAGATCAAACTATGTAGACTTAGTCGGTTAAGTTGAAGGTGAATTGGAACACTTTGAACACCTTGAATTAATCAACCAGACGTAATTTCTGTGTTAAACGGTTCATTTATTGGAATAGGTATTATTCTCCAGTGTTAGAGAAATTATCATTTTAAATGTATGGTATATAAACCTGATGTTGATTAATTTGGGCCCACCATATTGTATCAGGATATCAGATTAATTCTATTACTCAGATACTAAGCGTAGTATACTATGCACAAATAGAAAATCGTTTAATCAGCTTACTAACCTTCATTGGCTAAGGTGGTAGAGAAATGTGATATGCATATTTGACCACTATCTTTACAGATACGAAATTCTGACTAGCATAGAGGGTGGGAGAATAAGTTGGACAGATTGAGACATGTTATTGTTTTATGCAGTTAGTGCTTATTGACATATAATGTGTTGGTAGGTCCAAACTTTCTTCTTGAGATATTTAATATGACCTTATCTACGACGAAAGATATAAGGTGGCTGTGGTCAAAGTCGATGTTACTTGCACGAATCCATCCATTATTATTCATCTTCCAAACCTTTAGCTCGGTATTATTCTGTACGTTTTACTCACTGACTTTATTTTTTGAAACCGTATGTTTTGTTTTTAGTATTATTTGTGTAATTACTTGGAATTCTTTACTTGTCATCTTTTTAATTTCATCTCTGTCGCTGTGCTGATATAAAGCGGGGCGTTTTGTAGTGATTTGTATTTGTGCTACATTGTTTAAAAATGACTTACTTACTGACGCTTCCAAATATATGTGTTTAGTAAAAATGGTCAAGATTTCGATTCTTCTTTGTCGCTCCAGCGGGTACGTATTCTGTCACACACACACACACACACACATTACACCACTGACTCAGTGGGAGAGTACTTTTCGAAATTGCATTTGATTCTTTAGTTCTATCTAATCACTTTAGCTTTTTTTTTCGCTTTCAGACATCAAATATTCGTCATCAGTTATGCACGTCTTTTAGCTGCTCAATTGTCGATCCAAGTACCACAATCCTGTTTCTCCTCTTCAACTTCTTCATCGGATTCCTTCACTCGCTTAAATTATGGATCCACTGAACTAGTTAATTATCTTCATGAAATATTTATAAACTATATTCCACCAATGTTTACTCCGTCTAATAAACACATTGTAATTGATGAGAATGAAATGAAGCCTCAGCAAACGACCACATCTACTTCACCATCAAAATTGTCATTGCCTAAAGATAATGATCCTACTATTACATCAATGAAAAAAATTATTTTCAATAATCCTTCTCTCAATGATGATGATAATGGTTTGACAATAAAAGAAATTTGTCTAAATGAATCATTTTTAAAAATGTGTACAAATATTTTGGAGAGTTTAAGTAAACCAGAGAAATTTAAAGGTATGTCCTAATTTGTTCTTTAAATTTCTATCTGTTTTAAAACAATTTCTTTAAATTCAATCAGCTACAATGTAGGATCCGGCACATAGATGCATCGGTCCAAGTTGCCATACCTCATTAGATCCAAATTCATAGAAGTAGTTAATTCAGTGATGGTAATATATAAAAATGTATTTTCCATTATAGACAGCAGTGGGATCGACAATGGTGCTTTTCAGCTTATTTATGACTCTTCATTTGAGTGTAGTTGTATAAGGATTGAAGTAGTTGAGCGTGTCGACCGCTTCACTCATCTTGGAACTCTCATCAGCCCTTGTGGTCTGGTGTGTGACGAAATCTCAGCACGGATACAGAAGGCTCGACTAGCTTTTACCAACTTGCGTCATTTATGGCGTAGACGAGATATCCATCTGTCAACCAAAGGACGTGTTTACTGCGCAGCAGTTCGTTCCGTCCTACTTTATGGCAGTGAAACATGGCCGGTAAGAGTAGAGGATATTTGTAGGTTACTAGTATTTGATCATAGGTGTCTTCGAAATATTGCTCGTATATCCTGGGACCATCGAGTAAGTAATGCAGTTGTTAGGAAACGGGTACTAGGTAAGGATGGCAAATCAATTGATGACGTAGTGAAACTTCATCAGTTGAGATGGCTTGTACACGTGTTACGTATGCCCAACGACCGACTACCTCGACGTGCGATGTTTTATGGTGTAGGAGTAGGTTGGAAGAAAGCTAGGAGCGACCGCACCAAAACATGGCACAAATCCATAAAGTCACTGATAAGTGGACTGAGCCACGTTGGTAGGTGTAGACTACCTGGTTGGGGACCGCGAGATGATAGCAACCGATGGTTAGAGACCCTGAATGACATGGCTCAAAATCGTTTGCAATGACGCAGGTGCATCCACTCTCTGTGTTCTCCCAAATTCTAATCTTCTGAATTCTTCATGTCCCTTTACTTGTTCCCTTTCCAAATTTATTTCACTGTATTATACTCTTTAAATAACATCTCCAAACCCTAATCTTCCCGATTACTGCTTATACTCTTATTACCTCTACCACTACGGGATTTGAATGGACAACTGCATCTCTGTGTTAATGTGGTGTGGCAACTCGAACTGATGTACGTACATACGAAGTTCTACGTCGTTACTGACTGATATTTGAATGTACTTGTATCCCAGTATCCAGAAATCTCAGTGTGAATATTAATGTTGATCCACGTAAATCCAGCTGGTATCTCCTGAATAGGAAGAAACGCCCGTCTAAGATTCTATCGTTGGTTAATATTCAAAATATAATTTGTTTATAGCTATAGGCCATATTGAGTCTTTCATTGAATAAATAAGTACTTACCTACGCCTGTTACTCCCAATGGAGCATAGGCCATCGATCGGCATTCTCCAACCCACTCTGTCCTCGACTTGTATCTCTTCATTTCTGTAGCAATTTGGAAGACTCTCCCGATCTCCCACATTGTACGAGCATACGATGTACCTAAATTAATGGTTGCTCTGGTTGTCAGAACGGGCATCAGCCTTGTGACTTCCGAAAGAGTTCGGCTTTCACCATGAGGTGTCATAACTCTGTTAAATGAAGACCTTCTAACTCCCAGGACAGAGTTTAAATGATTTGGATTATTTTTTCTGCTTAGCGTGTTTTTAGTGAGTTATTTTTCTACGGGATGGGGTCGCTAACTCCATTCCCAACCCTCCTCTTTTGTCCTGGCTTGGGATCGACAATATCCCCAGAGAGGCTCCAGGCGGAGTTGAATGAATAAGTACATATGCCAAAAAATAGCCAAATTTAATCTTGAATATCAACAATCGAGAAATTTAAACACTTGTTATTGACGATGAATTACTTTAAACTGTTTTTGTGTTCATGAGTGTGAAGCGGTGTCCTACTAGTTATAAGCTATTTGATTTTCAACACTATGAGTTTGCAATTTACAACTCCAGCCCGACCTAATTCAGTTAGAGCATTCGGGCAGTATCACTAATTCGTCTATGATGATTAAATTCTCTGAATCTCCAGTTTTAAAGTGCAATCATTTGGTTAAGCTATTCGATATTGTATAATGATTGATCCATAATGTTCAGAATCTAATCAACATGAATTCCCTTTATGCTTAAGCTATGTATTCAATAGCGTGTGTATGCACTCTTTCTATATAAGTTGCGTCATAATCATTAAGGTCACTTGGTGTTGTTTTACTTGTATTTTCCCATTGTTATTTAGGACTGCAATTTATCAGTTTCATGTTGGCAATATGTGCATCCTGTACGGGTTGCTTCATCAACTCTGGGATGCAGGTACATCCAGCTTATAGCCCCAAAATGCCTTAGTACGGCCGAGAGTGGGGAGAGTCCACTCTCCCTCTCCAAATGCTCTCACACGGCCACGCGTATATAGCCTCTGTCAGGGAAGTCCTACTCATTGCCTTCTCGTGGCAGCGGCATTGTTTACAAAGTTGAGAGGACGAAAAGCGAATGTCCGATGCTTTAACCGGGTTAGTGGATATGGAGAGTCCTGCTAGGGGAGTTGGAAAACCCTCATTCCAAACCAATGCTCCACATGGGCTCCAGTATCCTGATGGAACAAATGGCGTATCAACTAATCGTTGGTCACCGGCTAACATGGGACTGCATCTCCTTATGTTGGTCCACTGCCTTGTGGATCAGACTTTCAGGTCGAAGGCTCTGAGTGTGATCCCTATGAAAACCACCTGGTTCGGTTTGGTCACCCGGGCAGTATCACAGCCCTCACGCATATCAAATGTGATTTGTGTGGTGCATATGTATTTTGTGCCTCCTTGTACCAATATCTATGTGTTAAAATAAATAAATAAAATATCTAGCTGATGAGTCCCAAATAGGATGAAACGCGCGTCCTCGATTCCACTGCTAGTCACTATCCATCTTTAATCATTAAGACTTATGTTACCATGTATATTATATATAAAATTTGGTCAAAATTCTCCTAAAATTCAATAATTCATGCTCATCAATTAGTATCTATGCCGAATAATTGATATTCATCAATACCTATAGAAAATTTATTTGTTTTTCTTATTTATCCTGTTTGTGGTAAACAAATTGTGAAATACAAATTTCTTTTCAAACAAATTATTATCAAGAGTAGTGTTTGTTCTATTTTTGTATGTGTGTGTGCGTGTGTGTGTGAAACAAATTTGAATTCTTAGTTAAAACACGAGAAGATATTGTATCATAAAAAAGGGGGGTGTAAATACATATTACACATGTATATACATACACACATATGGATATATATATATATATACAGACAATCGGCATGTTTAAACCATTTTTCCATATGACCTGGTGAAAAAATGTAACTATTACTGTTTATAATTAAAAAGAAGTTAATGAAACATCAAAGATATAATTTGTATTGTGTTCTGTAAAATTTTCCTATGTACTTGTACATGTTCGATCATTATAGATGACTGACTTTCTGTTCATATTCAGTATGTTTACTTTTGTTTAAAAATTCTTTACATTCAAATTAGTTTCTGATATGTCCTGGGTTCGAATCATTCGAGGGGTGGGATCATGGATGCACACTACTGAGGAGTCCCATACTAGGATGAAACGATCATGCAGTGCTTCCAGGTTTTCTATGGTTGTCTAGTTTCAATTGACTCATGATTTCAACTATTAAAATGACTAAAATCTCCACAAATGGAAGTTTGTGGAGATTGTAATGATTTTAATAGTTGAATTCATGAGTCGATATAAGTTAGGCCATCAATAAAAACCTGGAAGTACTGAACGACCATTTGTCCTACCATTGAACCCTTCAACAGTGCACATCCACGATATTGCACGCGGGACTCGAACCCGGGACCTTCGGTCTCGTGCGTGAACGCCTATTCTCTTGACCATTGAATGGGCATCCGACGGTGTTAATGTCTTATTTTAATCGATCTATGAATGGTTGCGGAATCATTCATCCATTGTCTGAGTTAGATTTCTGTCTCATATCAGACATAGATTGGACTCGACTTGTCACGCCTTCTCACTTGAACTCCAGGAAATTCATCTTAACGTCCCATACTAGGACGAAACGGCCATCCAATCCTTTCAGGTTTTCAATGGTGATCTAACTTAGATGCACTTATAAATTCAAGTATTGGTTAATTACTAATTTATAAAACTAATATCTGTAAATCACTTTTATTAAATCATTGAAACGTGTTAAGATAGAGTGGAGTTGAGAATTTCTTTGTGATTAGTGTGTTTACATTTTAGTTATAATTCATGATTGAAAACTTAGACGACTTTTTTTAAATGTATATTCCATTCATACTTGATTTTGTCATTGATATCCCTTCTAGAATCAACTATTTCGTAATCTAACTTTTTAAGGTTTATTCTCCTATCTAGAGACTGTCTTTTTTAGTCCACCTGACAATATCATGTTGAATGGAAATGACTGAAATTTTTTTTTAGTTTTTCAATCGTTTTAAGTGGCAATAAGATAATGTTTAGAATGTGTTTCTCTCTACCTAAATACTAAATATATCTTCAAGACTTGTCTTTGTCAGTATCTAAACTGATTGTAGGAACTAGGAAACAGTCGAGAGTGTTAACTATTTTACTTTAACAGTATTTTATCAGCCTATGATGTAATTTGGTGTGTGATGAAAATGGCATGTGTGCAAAAAATTTATTTGTCTGTGAACCATAGCTTCTGAACTTTCTAGACATTTACTGGTCTCTAATGTTGAGTCACAATCATCTTCGAAGTATTGGTCGTATGTGGTGTAACACGTTTATGGCGTTCTAAGTATAGTCGGTATATTGCTTAAAGGCGTAAAACCACTATGATTGAGACGTGCCATTGTCTATTGGATTGAGCCGTATAAATAGGTACAAAACACCTTCTTAGAGTTCTGGTGAGAAGCCGTGACCAGTGGAGCTAATCCGTGTCGGATAGAAACGGGTGTCTTCCTCAATACAATGGAAGATGGT